AAGGGGCCCCTTTCCCAAGACAATTTCCGCCAACAATTGCTTTTAAGGCTGCACACATGGGGCTTTGTGTATGTGCTATAATCAAGGCCTGTGAAAAAAAACTGAGTCAGCCATGCCATTTCTGATACTGGAGAGCCCCCTGGAGAACAGGGAGAATTGGAACAGTACTTCAGAATTTAGGTTTCTATCTTTTCCTTTATGAACTCAAAATTCTTCCACATTATTTAACTGGACATTAAGATATTCTGTTAAAATCGGTAGAGTTGGGTGTGATTTTTTAAAAATTTTTTAATGTTTATTTTTAAGAGAGAGAGAGAGAGACAGAGGTGAGTGGAAGAGGGGCAGAGAGAGAGGGAGACACAGAATCCAAAGCAGGCTCCAGGCTCTGAGTTGTCAGCCCAGAGCCTGATGTGGGGCTCGAACTCAGACACTGCGAATCATGACCTGAGCCGAAGCCAGATGCTTAACCGACTGAGCCACCCAGGCACCCAAGATGGGTGTGATTATTTCCATTTGAAGAAAATAAACACTAAGGCTCAGAAAGTTTAATGACCCCCTTGAAAAGCACATGGTCAGCAAACAAATCAGGAAGGCATTCTGACCACCAAATCACAAGGCCACAGGATTATAGGATTAACTAGAGGACAAATACAAGTGATCTCTATAGCTCCTGCTGTCCTCAGATGTTATCAACTTAAAATACAGGAAGTACAGTTTCCTTCACAAGCCAGATTTAAAGTGCCCATAGGAAATATACACAAGTACCTCCCTAAACCAAATTTACAATCCCAACTGTAGTTCATTTGTTCAGGGATCGCTCTGTCTCCCCTTAGATTATAAACACCTTTAGAGCACAGTGGCTCCCTTAGCTTTGTATAACCACTTACCCAGATGTTTGTCAATCCTGGTTGTACATTCAAGTCACCTAACACCTACCCTCACCCACAGAGACTCTGATCTAATCTGTTTGTGGAGATGCCCTAAGAAATCCTTTAGTGGCTCACCAGATGATTGTTAACACGCAGCCAAAGCTGAGACCAATGCCAGTGCTTTAGATGTCATGAGAACATAAAACATGTTTGTTGAATTGAATTGAATGTTAAAGTTGATCCTGTGAGGCTTGGGAAATGTTTTATTTGTGTCTGTGACATCTTATAGAAGCTGTGACTAATCTAGTGCCAAATTTGGGAATAAATGGTTTGGAAGAAATGTGCCTGAATGTATTGCCCGGGACTTCCCTCTAGAAGTTGGGCCATTCTGGTTCAGATCCAAAGAGGTGAGTCAATAGCTCTAGAACTGTGGAGTTGACTTTCATCTTGAGAGTGAAGGATGGTGCCTCTAAGCTGAAAAGCTATGATACTACTCTTGGGATTGGGGTTCGGCCTGAGGCAGGTATGGCATAAACAAGGTCTTCAAAGTGATTGATTTGTGAAAGCCCTAAGAAACTTAGAATAGACTGACCTCATGACTTGGTCCTTTTGTTATTCTGAGGCTTTACACAGGTTTTAAAACCTTTGTAGCCTCCTCTGGATCCTCCATAGAACTAGTAGCCACAAGATAAACTGGTCACCTTGGCCTATGTCAACCAAGACCCTGGTCTGGGTGAAAGCAGCATGAAGGTGTGATGGACCAGGTGCAGAGCCTTCACTTTGCTGTCTACTTCCCTGCTGTGCTTTACAAACATGCTCTGTGGAGGATGGGGCAGCAATGGCCTCTTGGAGGAGGATGCTCGATATTAGATAAGGATGATAGTAATACTAGTTAGGTGTTTCCACTTGACAAGGATGTTTCCCTAGGCAAGTTAAAGTCTTATTATTTTCCTCTTAAAGCTAGCAAAAAAAAAAAGTTATAATGACGTTTTTCACTATAAAAGCTCTAAGGGGAGGGTTGTAGTTAATAAGAAAAAATAAATAAATAGTTTTAAATTCACCATGTTATGAAAAAGGCTGTCAAAAACCTACATTAAAATATCATTACCAGTTGAGCTTGTCTATTGCAGATGATTCTGGGATTTCCATGCATACCTTCAGTTAACACACGTGAAAGAACTATTTAATATTTCTCATCAGTAATAATGTTATAATTAAACAATCCCCTTCCTCTGCGGGTTCCTGTCTATTATTCTAACAACTAGAACTTGCTTCCCAGGAGAACATTTCCATTAAAGAAAGAAAATGTGCCTTTGAACTCAGGAGTTAAAGTATGATCCAATTTAACATTGTTTTAATTAATTTGCCTCCAGAAACTTGAAGTGACAGCTTTTTATATAATAGACACCTTTGCCAAATTCTTACCAAAACTCTTTCTACCATGTTTTCTCCAAACACGAAATCAGAACTGCAGCTTTTAAAAGAATACTTCTCTTCATTTGGTTGACATCTAAGGAAAATAAATAAGCATTTGCTATTTAAAATATATGGATAAAGCCATGTTAAACCTTAACATGAAATAGTCAAATGGTTTAGTAGATTTATGTAAAGCATAAAAACATCTGTTAACTCTTACTCATCTGCAGATATTGAGAAATGAAGGGAAAACTGAGATAGGTACTTCCAGGGATAATATTTAAAATATTTCACAGCTGTGACAGCGCTAGTTGAAACCAGTCCAAACACGTGTCATGCCCATCACTCTTCAGGCCGTGTGATCAACCAGGGGCTGCCCAGCCCTTATCTTCTTGCTTTTCCAGCACAGCCTCTGTCAGTCTCTAATTTCTACTCTCCTCCTCCACAAGTGGCCAATGCTCTTAGCCACCAGAGACCTCCAGAGCAAAGGCATGACCAATGCATCTTGTCAGTGATACTTGAATGTGCATTTGTCTAATTTGGGTTTTTCATCCTGGAACTTTTTTTTTTTTTAATGGTAAAAGTGTTCTGCATGATGAGAAACTCAGACATACAGCTGTCTGTCTGTAGGCCGATGTACTCCGGGGTCCACATTGCATCCCTAGTATGTGCTGTAGGTGAGCTCTGTGGGACCCACACGGGCCCCAACCATGTGAGTCCGTTTATGTCCATGGCTTGTCTTAATCTCCTCTCAACTCAAACCTGCCTTCATGCTTGATGATACCAGCTTCATGCTTGATGATAACTTTCATTGTTCACATTTATACTGCTTTCTTTTGTTGTCTATCCAATGTATGTCAATAAATAATGAATAATAATTTAATATTCAAAGTAATTTAAAAAAGGGGAACATCAGAGAAAAGGTAGAAAAGGCTAAGCTAGCAGTCAGATCATTAAGTCCCAACTAAATAAAAATTTAGCTACACAGTTTTGAAATATTCTCACCCAAGTCAATGAAAAAGTAGAAATAATCCAATATTAATAGGATAATCTTTATATATTAGAGATATTGGGAAAAGCATTTTATTTTTAATTTAATTTTATTTAATCCAAGTTAGTTAACATATGGTGTAATAATGATCTCTGAGTAGAATTTAATGGTTCATCACTTACATATAACACCCAGGGCTCATCCCAACAAGTGCCCTCCTTAATGCCCATCACCTGTTTAGCCCATCCCTCCCACCCACCTCCCCTCCAGCAACCCTCAGTTTGTTCTCTGTATTTAAGAGTCTCTTATGGTTTGTTTCCCTCTCTCTTTTTATCTTATTTGAAAAGCATTTTAAACTTGTGTTCTTTACAAAATCTCAAACAGAAATCTTGACAATTTATCTGTGCAGTATCAGAAAGTTATTTTTCCACAAATGATTATAATGGTAAAAGAAAGCAAGAATAAAAGGATATCCTCTCTGTGTCCTCAGCATTAACTTACCCTACTGATGTAGCACCTAAACAGTTCTGTTTAGTAGTCAGCAGTACTGAAATTCTGGTGCTGGGTAATTTTTCACCTAGCAAACAGGAGCTCCCCTCAGAAATCTGAAAGACAATCCATCAGAAAGTTCCTTTCAGTTGCCTTAAAAGGAGCATCAGACAAGGAAACAATAGTTACGGTTAAATGTATTGAAAATTTACTGTGTTCAAGTACTACCCTAAGCATTTTAGGTACATTATCTCATTTACTCCTCACAACATCTCTCTATAGGTTGTATGTCTACTATCCACATTTTACAGTTTACAGATGAGTAAACTGACCTAATGAGTTTAAATAACGTGGCTAGGCTTGGGCAGCCAGGAATGGGGTTGATCTTAGAGCCAGGGTCTGACACCAGAGACTGTATACTTAGCCATCATATTCAGAAATCCCACCTCCTTTTGTTACTTTTATCTTTTTAGCCACATGGAGTTAATTCTCATTTCTAATTTAGCAGATATATCCTTCAGGACTGTTGAACCCCCCCAAGCACCCTAAGAGCTTTACCAGCACAGCCACCAAACGGAGGGAATCCCATTCATCTCTTCATCTAGAAATTTTTGACTGGTAACTTAACTAGTTTGTCTGATGTATATACATATGCACATTGCCTGACTAATGTATAGATGAAGGTGCGAGCAATTTTTTTTATTAAATGTTTATTTTTGAAAGAGAGAGAGTGTGCCAGTGAGCCTGCCAGTGGGGGAGGAGCAGAGAGAGAGGGAGATGGAAGGTCTGAAGCAGGCTCTGCACTGAGAGCAGGAGAGCCCAATATGGGGCTCAAACTCAGCAACCATGACATCATGATCTGAGTCAAAGTCAGAGGCTTAACTGACTGAGCCACCCAGGTGCCCCCAGGTATGAGCAATTTTAGAACCAGAAGGAGCCCTATAAATTATCTGATAGATGTCCCCAATGTTTTCTACACCTCACCCTTCCCCCAGCAGGGATTTGCAAAGATGTTGCAAGGAGTTCATATCTTTAAAGGTAGATAGGGTCTGTTTCCACTTCAATTTCATATCAATCAATAAAAATAATTTTGAGCATTTTTCCCTTTATAACAGAATTTGAGAGGTAAGAAATATGTATGAAGAGAATACATGCTGTTGGCAAGCAAAGATCAAAGTGCATGCCTCGTGACTCGGTCACTCAAATGACTTAACTCTCAGCCAAAATGTACTTTTATTCTTATGTACTTAAAATATACTCATATGTAAAACAGTACATATGCTATATTATATGTATAGTGCATAAGTGACCATTGATTAATGACAGAATGAATGAAAATTGCTCTGATTTTATATACAAGTTAATAAGAAACATGAAAATAATAGTTCTATGAAATCCACCGAGAGATAATTTTCACTAGATCTATAAATTACATTTTGTTAGAATTCTTACATTGCATCATTATGCTTAATACATTTATTCAAGAAGAAATGCTTGCAAACAATAGCCTGAAAATTTCTCTTATTCTTTATCATTTAGGAAGAAAATACAAGAAAAATATTAATAAACTTTATTTATAAAATATACAATGCAAAAAAATAAAAATAAAAAAATAAAATACATAATGCAAAATTTCAAAAAGCCATGCCAAAGAAGAAATATTGATTTATAACATGTAACAAAAATTTTAATCTATAATTTATAGTACATACTGTTCCAAAATCATATGCAATATAATAACATTTAGAAATTAGCCAACATATCATACTTTTTTTATATACTTTAACACAAATTAAACAACATGCATCATTTCTTAAATGGATAAAAGTAAGAATTTATGTAATATGGTAATGATTATTAGATTATATTTCAATGAAAACTTTTAACAATCTACTGATTTGAAAGTTTTTTGAGAGAGAGGGTGCAAGTAAGCGAGGGGCAAGAGAGAGAGAGAGAATCCCACGAGGGGCAGAGAGAGAGGGAAGGAGAGAGGGAGAGAGAAGCAGAGCTCACCCAAGTGGGGCTCATGTTTTTACCCAAAGCAGGGCACGAGCTTACAAACCGTGAGATCATGACCTGAGCCGAAGTCAGAAGGTTAACCAACTGAGCCACCCAGGCACCCTGGTTTGAAATTTAAAACATGGTTTACTTAAAGCTCATACCATATACCATGCAGAAATGATTAAATGATTTTTAAAATTCAAAATAGGTCTTATGAAGTCATATCTTACAAAAAAAGGATTTGAAATTATAAAAATATTGTCAAATGCTGACCAAGTTCAACTCTCTCACTTCACTGATAGAGAAGATTGGGTGCTTTGTCCAAGAATGTAAACATAGTTAGTGGCAGAGGTAGGATTACTACCCATCTGATGTTTTTTTCATTGCATTGATGAAATGATTGGTATTATCAGCTTCCATGTGTCACTCTCTTTATGTTCAGTATGGAAAACAAAACAAAACAAAACAAGTGACCAACCCTCAACAGTTTAGCTGGAGATGAATGAAGGATGGCATTACTCTCAAATTCCAACCTACTGATTTTGGTACCATTCCTCTCAACTATTGGCTTCTGGAAGACACAGCAACAGAATATCCCCAAACCCATATCTGCATGGCTTGAGCAAAATGACAATCTCCCTAGAAAGGCCCACACTGAGGAATTCAGTCAGCCACAACAACTGGAAGAGAGACTTTTCTCTGTCTTCAGAAGCTTCCCCGGCCCTCCCAATTCCCTACCCTGTGGGGGTAGTTCCCTGCTCCCATTATCCATGAAGGTGGGTCTGGATGGATACCTGGTGTGACCTCAACTGGCAAAGCCACACTAGGATGTCAACCAGCTGGAGATGCTGGAAGCCCATGTTCCTTTTTTGACTTCTGACTCCTGGAGCTGGCCACCTCATTGCTCCCCCTATTCTCACGTGGGATCAGTGCACTGGAATAAGACCCCAGAAGTTTCTACCCCAAGGGACTCAGTTTTTCAGCTTAGGGGAGACCACAAAACTAGTTCCTAGAAACTACTCTCCAGTTTAAGAGGACAAGTTGAATAAGGTTACTGAGGGCTTTTTGCTATAGTCTGGGGTGTTTCCCCAGTCTGGCAGTGACCTCAGCAACAGAACAAAAGTCAGGCAGCCCCTAACTTTGGATGTAGAGCCCACAGCAATCTACTAAATGAAAGACGGAGAATTTGTGTCAGTCCTGCCATTGGAGGTTCCTTACCTTATTTTTCGTTTTGTCTTTAATCTTGCAGGATTCCAAGGTATCGTGTCCAAATGTTTTTCTTGCTTTTTCACACCTTTGAGCTTGAGGTGGTTGCAAAATAGCAGGTCTTAGAACATGTTCAGAATGTTTCACGGGACCTTAAAAGAACAGGGTTCAAGAGTCAATATATCTTTAGGGAAATACTTCTTCCTCCATATTTTGACCAATGTAACGCTTATTTTCTAAAGTCATCATTAAATGAGGGGTTAATGTTAACTAACCAAAGTCAAAATAGCCAATGAATTCGTTAGTGCTTACTTTTGGCCTAGATTTTACCCAATAACCGGTCATTTTGACCATGGGACTTGGCTTACCAAATATATTTTTTCATGTTTTGTCACTGGGTCCTACCTCCATACCCCAACACACACACACACACACACCAAATTAAAATATAAATGGTAAAATGTAAAATTTCAGAGGTTCTTGTAATAAACTACATACCTTGTTCTGCACTGTTCATATCAACATTCCTTTGCACATGAGTTGATGTCATAAAAACATTGTTTTTCTTCACTGTAAGAAAAACAATTTAGAAAAATTTAAATCTAACAGGGTGTCAGTTTCTACATGATTTGGGTTTTAACAGTCCTGTCTTAAGCTCACCAGTAGATGTCACTGTTGGCAGTGTGCTGAGAAGGCAGGTGGGCTAACAATGACTGATGGCAGTGAGTTTTGCCACATAGTTCTGTTTATGTTCAGAAATATAAGTGAAAATTGGGCAACTAATGGAATAGGTGGTCTTCTCTAGAATCATAAAAACGAGTACTGAAATGAGTACATACTATGAAATCTGATGATAGTGATCCCTATGTGTACGTTAATATGTATTTCTTATAAAATGTTATGAACCTATTAGCAAATTCTGCCGCTTTCTCTACCCTGGTGATACCTACAGACAGAAGATGACTGTTATGCTAGGTGATTTTTCCATGAGGTGTGTTCATAGTATGAAGAATATGGTGGTAGCTGCAAATACAGAATTACTGTACATTTCAAAGAGATCATCTCTTGGTTGCAAACTGCAGAAACAGCAACCTTTGAGCATTTGATTAGTGGAAATGAGAAAAGAATAAGAATTGCTTCTTCTAAGTATTATAACATATTATAAATGTTGGGGTAGAATTGCTTTTCTAATTCAAAGTGCAACTAAATGGTTTATGATCTTTATTATTGAAAATGAGCACCAAAGGGCCGTATAAAGTTGTACTATTTTTCTCCATTCCAACACCACCAACATACTGCACAGCATAAAATGGAATGATGCTTACTGATATCAATGTTCTTTAGTCTTTTTGTGTATGTATGTCTAACTTAAGATACTAATAAATCGAAACAGTTATTCAGATACTTACAGCCATCCCTTTATTTTATGCACAAATACAATAAAACAAATTCTCTAGGCTAGGACCCCAATTCCTCTTAATGTCTGTAACTTGTCAGTGAGGTTTAAATGGGGTATATTGAGCTAGAAAGTATTTCTTCTGTATCTGAAAGGTATCTGACATATATGTTGCTCAGCCATGCTTGGAATTATTAATAAGAATATAAATTCGTTAGTTTGAGAACTCTGTGGCTCCCAGGTAGAGAGGGATCAGTTGAAAGGAAGTGAATAGTTTGTATTTTTTTAGTTTCTTAGTGGCAAGATTAACTTGGAAAAGGCAGCTGGTTGTTCAGTAGAAACAAACACAAAAAGAATATAAATCATAACTTTTATGTAGAGAATGTTCCAACCATCTCAAATATTTTGTAATGATAAAATAGATCTACTTAGCAAAGCACTACAAATTCCAAATCAAAAGAAGTAATGTTTTAATTAGTGAAAAGTTTAAAAGGAATCATATTCTAAACCTTAGAATATCATCTAAAGCATAAACTTTAGAATAAGAATCTGAAGCATAGCTGTATATTTTGAGTACCATAGGTACCATGAACCATACAGATGCACAATAATAAGTGAAATAAAACAAGTTACTCTGTATGGCTGCCTTACAGAAAATATTTTTATCATAAACATGAAATCCTAAAAAAATTCAAGTTCAAACTTTCTACCAGAAACAAACAGGATTTGTGGAGTTGGGATTCATAAGGCATTCTTCTAATCATACTTGGCTAAGGCCTCTATTTTATTTTCCACTAAAATGCCAGCATTTTATAATAGCCGAGTAAGAAGGTTCACCATCAACGAGAATGGATTTTGAAAAACCAGAGTGTCAGGCTTGAAGTTCCAGAAGCTGTTTATTACCCGGCCCAGAAGGAGGGAAGGTCGGGAGGTCAGTGAAGGATGATGATCTCATTCGATTCTGGGACAAGGTTGATGCTAGAAGCAAATTGCAAACTAAAGTCAGTAAGGAGGTTGGTTTTTGTATGTCTTTTTATTTGAACTTTTGCTGTTTCAGAAAAATTTCTACATCACTAATTTAGACAAGATTTTGTATGTTTATCAGTAGAAATAAAATGTGGCTGTGGTGAGAATTATAAATTAATTTCTATTCGGACCAATAAATTTCAGAGTGCTCAGCACATGTAAGACACTCTATCAGGCAAGAAGATGACCCCCAGGAACTCACAGTGGGAAGCAGACACGCACACAAATAGCTGTAGTACAAGGCAAGGGGCAATGCGGTCATTTATAAAAGGGATCACCAATGAGCTTTGAGTGGAGAAGAGAGGCAAACTAAGTTATGGATTTACTCCGAATACGTACACGATGAAGTTCTTAAAGTGTTCTTTTGAAGGCAAACATCTGTTTGTTTAAGTAGGTGGTTACTTAGGGAGAAATGGCAGTTTCCTCTAATTACAAAGCTAATGCATACTTAATGCAGACACTTTGGAAACACAACAAAATATAAAGAGTGGGTAGAAAACCCCAAATCACCTGTAATCCCATTACCTAAGACAACCACTGCTGACATTGTGGCTTACGTCCTTTCCATCTTTCATCCAATGTTGATAAATTGAATTTGTACATAGTGACTCACTATACAATCCATTTTTAGACTGCTGTTTTCATACAGCAATTTATTACATTTTTTTTTAATGTTTATTTTTGAGAGACAAAGCATGAGTTGGGGAGGGGCAGAGAGAGAAGGAGACACAGAATCTGAATCAGCTGCAGGCTCTGAGCTATCAGCACGGAGCCTGACTCAGGGCTTGAACTCACGAACCATGGGATCATGACCTGAGCCGAAGTTGGACACTTAACCGACTGAGCCACCCAGGGGCCCCTCATACAGCAACTTATAAACATTATCTGATGGGTAGACTTTTAAAATATTTTCCATCTGGAAGGTTTCTCAGTAATTTCACACTCGGAGTAAACGTAACAGTGAACAGCCAACAGTCAGGTCTATACCTACCTCCTTGAGACTGAAGATGTGTAGTATGCAAAGTAAAAGATGAAGACCGTACGCGCTTTCTCAGAAAACCATTAGACTCTGTAAGAAATTCAATGTGAAGGGTAAAATTGCTTGGATAACAAATTATCCTCAAGCAAAGATATGGAAAGGTAAATAGAATTACCTCTTGCCTACATAGATCATCATCTGATAACATGTTAACTCCTGAAGCACAAGTTTAAATACTGGGGGTAACAGCTTGGTGATTATAAAGCAGTAGGCATATCATCCTAGTAAGAACAATTAGAAACAAGTGGCTTCAGCAAGAAACTGCATACGAATTTTGAGATCGTACAGAGAATGTTTTTGGCAGGTTGAGACACAGGCAATGGGGAAACAAGGGAGTCTAGTGTCACTAGGGTCAGGTTCTCAGGACCTACGTGTCATCTGTCAAAACAAAAGCCACTTTCCTTTCATGTTTAAACACAAGAAAAACCATTACATTTTACACAGTTGTTGCCACATGTCTACATGCTTGTGCCTGATTATTTTCTTTGTATGAAGATTGATTTTGAAATAAGGATGTAAGTCATTACCATGTTCTGCTGCTTCGTACAGGGTGTCTTCTGCAGGTCTCTGGAAAGAAGCAAAGCTGTCAATGAGAGCTGAGTACTTGCTGATTTTAGGTCAGAATTCCACCCTGTCACTTGATCAGAGAATTCTCAAAAGCCAGGTCTATTCAGATGGGCCAGGTTAAAGCCACTCACCTTTGCTCACTAGGTATGTATTCAAGAAAAAGCAAAGTCTTCGTAGAGCGGTTTTGTATTTCAGTGACTGCAGAATTGCTTGCGGGAACTGATTTAAAAGTTGGTTGGTTTTGAAACACCAACTCTCAAGGTTGGCCTGGGGTGGGGCCCAGGAAACGGACTTTTCAACAAGGGCTTGGGGTTGAGCTTTTCTTTAGTTAGTTTTGTGGGTCGTAGGGTAAATGACCTGGCATAAGCAAGAACGAATAACAAGAAAATCCTAATCAAGCTAAAGAGAAAAGCCATGAATCTTATCGTTCGTCTTTCAAAGAAGGTGCTTTTAGTTACGAGGCTGAAAAGGCAGATAAATTCTTCAAGATCCCTTTTAAATCAAGTATCAGAGTTTAGAACTTATCTGATACCCAGTTTTAAGCTAGGTCAGTGGTGGAGACCCACAAGGAGTTTCAGTCCTCCTGACCTCTTTCAGTCCTGCCCCTTTCCAAGTCACTCCAAAAAACCCTATAATTTTGGTAAAAATGCTATGTTATTCATAGCTTCAAGACAAGGCCTCTGGCCTCCCATTTCAGCCAAATTGCTGCCAGTAAAAACTGACTATATAAATATTCTGGAGGCACTACTCTGCTAAGTAAAGAACAAGAGCCTAAACTAAGGCAGCAATGATATTTAGTAACAGCAGCTTCTTGAGAGATAATTTTCTTGGTCAAAGTGAAAATCAAACAAAGAAAAGTAGCTTGGTCTTACCTTAAAAGTTTGTTCTCTCTTTGCAAAAACAAATATTGGCTGAGCAATGACAGATTTTTCTGTAGAAGGAAAAGAACAGGCAAAAAGTCAAATCATGTTCTGACATTTCTAACACCAACTACGAGTATCTGAAGATTTTTTGTTTTGTTTTGTGTTTTTCCCTGCCTTTAGGTAAAATCCAAACTGTGTTTACATGGACACTAGAACTTGCATATTTGCAAGTGATTTTCAGTTATTTACAGATATAAATAGTTGGGGAAAGTGATAATAATGTGTTTCCACAAATAGTGAGCTCATCCCATTAAAGAACACACTTTAAGTGTTTAAGGAAAACAAAGTATAATTACCTGCATTTAGAATATCATTAGGGCATAATGATTAACATGTTTACTTTTAGAATGAAAAACCACAAAGGGCTGAAAAATCTCATCTAAGAACAGTTCTTCTACTTGGGTTGGATCTCAAGTAGATCCTTAGAATAATCCAGAAATAACTCATACTTCCTTGATTAGAGGAAAATACTTGCCATGTTTTAAATATTTAAACTAAGAATCAGTCTTGTTAAAAAAAAATGTTTCTACATTTTGAGAGAGAGAGAGAGTAGGGGAGGGGCAGAGGGAGAGAGAGAGAGAATCCCAAACAGACTCTGTACTGTCAGCATGTAGCCCGATGTGGGGCTGGAACTCATAAACAGTGAGATCGTGACTGAGCCAAAATCAAGAGTCAGATGTTCAACCGACTGAGCCACCCAAGGTGCCCCTAAAAATCAGTCTAAAACAGTGTTGTAAAGTAGATAAACTTTGTCTTCAGCCCCATTGACCTTATTAATCTTTTATATTTTCCTATTTTAGGTAAGACAATGGAGAGAAACTCATTTATTCTAGGGTGTAAATGAGGGATAACAGATTTAAATATCAGCACTCCAGAATTCTTAGGGAAAATGACATTTGTTAAGAGCTTGGGCTCTGTAGTTAGGGAGGCTTGTGTAGCACTAATTCTTGGGGAAATAATATGTTTGTATCTTTAGTTTCTTCATCTGAAAACAAAATGAAGATTATAACAGTACTTACCTCTCAGAGTGTATGTGGCAATGGATTTTTAGATATAATTGCTTAGATTTTTACAAGACAAAAAAAAAGCTTTAAAGAAAGAATATTAAATATATGGCACACCACCAATCCTTAGCTGACATTGACCACTTAAGACAACACTTTCTTTTTTAAATTGAAGTAAAAATGACACTTTCTTAATGAGCCCAAATATCTCAGAATTTTTCTCATTATAGGTTTTCAATAGCCATTACCAGTATATTGTCCTGGCATACAAGCCAAGGTAATTTGCCATCCCTGGGATGAATAAATAAAACTCTCACTGAGGAGTTTCAAGCAACCACCAATTACATTTTGTTATGTGCCAGAAAGGGGTTCTCCAGTTCCCCATATTTGAATCCCGTAAGAGAGTGTCAAAACTCTGCCAGGCCACTCTTGCCAAGCTCCTGGGGCCCTATGACCTGGGGGTACTTCTTGTGGTCCACGGAGATAACCTGCTCAGTTTTTCATGCAAGTTTTTTACTGCACTGTCTGTCCTTGGAGCCAAGTGAGTCCCAGCAGAAAATACTCAAGAACATACTGGCAGTCCCATCCACATGAAACTATGGTTCAATTCTTTATTCCTTCTCAAACAAGCTCCTGTTCAGCAATTACATTAGAGTTAAGAAATGAGAACTCCAGTGACTTTGAAAGAAAATAGGCTTCGTGAATGTGTAGGGGAATGCTTATGCAATGGAATTATAAATCAGCCTCTTCTAAACCAAACTTAGGATAGTTATGCCTAAAATAGCATGACGAGGCCTAATTCTAGACAAGTAACACGTTGACTTTCCCTCAATCAAAACATTCAGCTAAACACAGGCAAAAGCACTCTTCAATGCAGCATTAAGGAGGAAATCGCAAAGGGTTACTTGCAGCTTAGAGAACATATGATAAAGTAAGAATGTCACTTTTATTCATTAATTCAACAAATATTCATTGGGCATCCTTTCTGTGCCAGGCATTGTGCTGGGATGTAAGGATACATTGTCTGATTGAAGGTTTATTAGCCTCAGCATAGCCACCCTCTCTCCCTGACTCCGCCCAGCACGTAAGTTGCAAAGCAGATAATCTCCATACCTCCTCTTCCATCTGGATTCTGTTCCCCTCTTCCAAGCAGTTCTTTTGGCTCCAAAGCCAAAGCCAAAGGTAAGCATTTATCCAGCCATCGGGTCCATAACAGTTTTTTTACTTAACCCAGTAGGAAATTTTCAAAATAAAAGCAAGGTTCTTATGATTTTCTAATTTTAAGTTTATGCTTTTTTGCTTTATAATGTATTCATTAATCGCTTCTCGGCCTTTTGTCTAAGATCAAGTGTATAATGTATTAATTAATCAATCCATTTATTTTAAAAAAATATATGTATTGAGGGTTGACCATGTACAAGCCACCTTGCAAGGCAAGAGAGAGAGGATCAGTGGTACAAGATGAGGCTGAAGGTGAGTAAATATAAACTTTTCCTCCTTCTAATATGTACCATAATTTCCCTCTCCCCCAGTTTTAGGTGGGTCATAAGGCCTTGTCCCTATCCTTTATTTTCATATGTTTCATCAAAACGTAACTGGAGGATTTTCCCAATGAATCATCTCAGAGAAGGAGGTTTAAAAGGATCTGCAGAGCCAAAAGCAGATCCAGAAGAGGAGAAAGACACTGAGCACGGAGCACCCCCAACTCAGAGTCCCAGTGGGGACAGGACCGGCACCCTTAGGGGCCCCAAATTTCTACTACACAGCAGAGTCCTGCGGACCGCCTCTCGCTGCGTTGGGATTTGGGGAAAGGTGAACACTGAATCCTCCACACTGGATAGAACCAGGCTGCCCTAGCCGGGGCCAGAAAGGTTGTGGAAACGGACTTGGCAGGAAAGAGAGTGGCAACAACCCCTCCCACTGAGAGGCAGGTGATGCCAAATGGGTCACCTCTTAATTGCTACCAGGACTGGAATTATCCACTTGGGCCGCAGCCCTGGCAGGTCCTGCCTTTTCCTCTCCCTTTCTTCCTGGACCTATCCACATGTCTGCCACATCCTCTTCTCTAATTTCTTCTCCTTGTGCACTGTCTTAGCCCAGGCTCCAACATTGTTCATTATGCCCCTGTCCTCTCCACCCTCTTTGACTTGTGTCCAGCTCTCTAACTGGTCAAAGCATAGATTTGGGAGCTCGGAAGTCAAATAGTCCTAGAACTGTATTTTTTTTTTTAATTAATCCAAGCCTCAGTTTTATGATCTATGTCTCTGTGTATATATTTTAAAAGCTTGTCATGAGGCTTGAAGCAATGTATGCATATAGAAGCATCTTGTACAGCTTCCTCCTCAAACCCATTTGGAACAAAGCAGAACCATCTATCATCTATCTATTCTCTATATTTGCACACATCTCTCTATATATCCAGATATTTACAGTACATTCCAGTATCTATTTGCCTATCATCTATCTATCTAGCATCATCTATCCACACATACATAAACATATAGCAATATGTCAGACCACAGGTTGCACAGGAGACATTCAATAAAAGTGAGATTCCCTGTCCTCTTCCCCTCCAGTCCGATATTACCTGTGGGTACCCTGTGACTCTTGTTAGTCTGAGGGAAATGCCTCATTGTTCCTCAAAGATCTTTCTTTTTCCTTTCACTCATTACCATATTCTTATCCCTAGTTTTCTTCCTCATTTCTCTTCATCGAGCCCCTATCTTTCTTCTTCTTCTTTTAATGTCAGGAAGTTTCTGAATTCAGGCTGTGGTCCATACAGAGTTTTAGAGATTGTTGGTCAAAGTGTGGACCAGGTAGACCAGAAGCATTACTGGGTGTTTGTTAGAAACAGAAACTCTCAGGCCCACCCCATACCTACAGAATGACCGTATTTGACACTATCCCTAGGTGATGTATACATATGGTTAAGAGGTAGTCCTAGAGAGCACCTCCAGGTCTCTGTCACCTGATACCACATTTAGGAAGATGGCAGTGGAGACTCCTGGAGTCAGTGACTAACTCTCCAGATGTTCTGAGTAACCTGACAATTAATGAGAAAAGGATTGCTACTCAAACCCCATACTATGATTATGATTCAGTGTAAGGTGAAGTTAAGGGCTACTCAGAAGACTTCAAAAGAAATCTCTGTAGTAAGGATATTAAAATATTGACACTGATGCTGAAATCAGTCATTCAGATATTTTGCTTGAAGCCATTAATGATTTCCTCTCAAATGCAAAAGTTTGTTTGCTGTTTTGATATGTCTGAAATCTGACCTTGGTGTCCCTGAAAAAAAAAAAAATGTTTTTGGAAAGTGTCTTGGCTTGAAATTATTAAATGTTCATTAAAATGTTCATTTCTGCGAGGCAAAAAATTAGGCTGGAAGCATAAACTACATCAAAAATATTGCCATAGTACTAGGATTCTTCACCAAAAATTTGAAACCTCTGAAGTTTCAACTCTAAAAATGAGATCTTCTGTAGAAAAAATAGGCAAATCATAGCAAGTGACCTTAGTCTCTGTATGGAACCCCAGAAAGAAGAGACACAGAGGGTCTGAATCATAATCTTGATTTTTGTAAAAAGAAAAAACAAACGTCAACATTATATTAAAATATTCCAAGACATTTTTTTTTCATGTTTATTTATTTTTGAGAGAGAGAAAGAAAGAGCACAAGCAGGGAAGGAGCAGAGAGAAAGGGAGACACAGAATCCAAAGCAGGCTCCAGACTCCGAGCTGTCAACACAGAGCCAGACGCAGGGCTCAAACCCATGAACCGCGAGATCATGACCTGAGCCAATGTCAGAGGCTTAACCAACTGAGCAACCCAGGAACCCCTCCAAGACAGTTTTAATAAGGGCAAGTGGCAGCCCCAGAAGAAAAAGGAATCTGCCAATTTATGAGGGAAGCACTAGCATGAGATATTCTGTACTTATTTCTAGCCCTACACGGAGGAGCTCAATAAAAATGCAAGAAGAATGAAGTAACAAATTACCCACCAT